ATTTTTGTAATTAAGTTTGTGTTAGTTCAGTAACTTTGTTTTCTTTACTTGGTAATCAAAATTGTAGTCAAGTATTTTCGTTTAATAATCAAGATTATGACCAAGTGTTCTTGCCTAGTAATTAAGATAGTAATCAAGTATTTTTACTTGTTTTTTTTTTTAATTGTATTTTAACTAATCATACTTTTTATATTATAACTGTGTTAATTTTTATTTTTTATAATCAAGATTGTGATAGTTCAGTAACTTCATTTTCTCCATCTGGTTCTTTTTTACTTAATATATTTTCATCCAGTAATCAAAATCTTGCTTTGTCTGATAATTAAAATTGTGAACAAGTGTCTTTACCTGGTAATTAAAGTTGTGATCAAGCATCTTTGTTTGGTAATTAAGCTAGTAGTTAAATATTTTTGCTTAATAATCAAGTTGATTATTTAATATCTTTACCAATAGTCAAACTGTATTTTTAGTACCTTTGTCCAATACCAGTATTGGTTTTCTAGAACTTTCATTTGAGAACTGTGTTAATCAAGAGTTTCTATCTAGAACTATAATAAATTTTTAAGTTTATCTAATTGATATTGATTAAGATACAATACTAATTTTTCAAATAAACTAAATTTTTAGTTCTTGAAAACATTACTAATAATCATTCAAATTCTAATCAATATAATATTTTACAAGATATTGCATATCAAAACTTTCAACAATATACTGAGAAAATAATACAGAAAATGTTAAAAAAAAAAAGCTTGTTGATATTCAAGTTGATAATTTGGTAAAGGTAAGTATTTTAAAGATTGATCAATATAGTATCAACCATCCAACCTTTCCTGTAAGGTTTTAAAAAAAACTGGTAAAGATCTTTACCAACTTGGATATAAATATAATATAATTAGCATATATTACTCTTCTGGTCAACTTGAAATGTACTTGTTCTAAATTTAATAAAATTCTATCAAATCAAGTAACAATTTATGAGGTTAGAAGACTCCAAAGTATAAGAACTATATCAGGTTCTATCTGTAATTGCAAGGGTTTATGTAATAACAAAAAATGAAAGTGTAAAAAGATAAATACAAAATGTACAAGCCATTGTCATAGTGGAAGATCATGTTTAAATAAGAACTAATCTATTAATAATAAAAATATTATTATTTCTCTATTTTCTGCATGTACTAAATAATTAAATAAATAAATGCATATTGAATAATATTTTGCAGTATTAAATTCGGATACATTATTTGTTTAGTTTATCACATGATTATATTTTGCGTCAGATCGTAACTTACGTGCGTTAGATGCAATCCGACGCACCTCATATGACCGATTTTCAGGCGACGTGCATTGCATCCGATGCAAGAAAACATCTGAGGCACAACAGATACAAGAAAAAAAAAATAATAGCTATATAGTTTAATAATAAAAACGCTCTGGTTACATTTATTAATATATGTATTAAGGATGGTGACATACTATCTTTGATAAATTATAAAATTCAAAATTAAAAATTTTGAAAATATGGGTCATGGTCTAGGAAAACCCCCCTCTGACGATTTTTTAAAAATTTTGAGTTGTTTGATTCAAATTAAAGTGCCGGTTTCTAACTACATATATTTCAATTTTTACCCAACGTTAATATAATAATTTATCGAGATATTTTAACTTGAAGGTGATCCAATTTTTAAACGTTCGTGTTCTAAAAATAGAATGATAACCAATGATTGATGATTCAATTAAATTAGATTGGTCAATCAATGTTGTATAATCACATGATGTTGTTTGCTAAGTAATTTGTATCTAAAAATAAACAAAAATTCAGGGGTAAAATTTAGGTTTCACAAACATTAAATCGTCATTTTCTCAAAATGGGGGAACGTTAAAGCCAGGTGCGTTAGAATTACTTTTTTGATGCAGTTAGGGTTACGTTTTTGATGCAGTAATGGTTAGTGGTTTATGTAAATATCAAGAAGATAATTTATGCAACATGTAGATCATTTCCAAGTTTATACCAAACGCACCTGGTTTTAACGGACCCCTCAAAATGGAAACTACCCTTCAGAGGGGGGTTTTCCTAGACCATGACCCATATATTGAAGAACTGGCGATATATTGCCACTGCGATAAATTATAAAGTCCAAAAATTTTTTTATAAAAATTTATATATCGATATATAAAAAAAAACCGGGTTGCCGGGTTAATTGTTTCTTTTTATGTTATGAAAACCAAAAAAAAATTTTTATATAACCTAACATTAAAAAACTTTTTTTTTGCAATAATCTACGTATAAATTTATAATTAATTAATAGCATATTTTATTAAAGAAATCTTAACGTTAATGCAATATATGTAGCTAAGAATTTTACTAAAAAAAAAAATAAATAATACAGACTATTTTAAGTTAATGCTATATATATACGTATTTGTATAGATGTTGCGTCCCAAATTGAAATTTCCGCTTAATCAACCAACATTATAGCTAACTTTATCGGGTTCGGGAAAATGGCATTCGAGAACTTGAGTTACAATGAATTGAAATCGGTCAGATTCAGAATCGAGTAATACTAACTCAAATCCTAATCATTCTGCAACAATAATTTATAAAATTCCCATCCGTTAAAGCGCATAACTACTCGCTAAGCAAAGCAGTTGTTGGATCTACATCATACACTTTCAGTAATAAGCTCTTATAAATGGAAATTAATCATGTCAAATTAGCGTCTACAAGATTACTGTAATCTTTTAAAAAAAATATATTACCTTATCGGCGTCTAAGTTCAATTATATCACATTGACATTTCAATAATATTTTAAAAATTCAATAATTAATCTAAATAGTTTTGACCTTTAAATAGAAGAGAATTCTATTTTAACCCGGGTTAAAGTCACCCAAACTATTACTGCACTAATCCTATTACTGCTAATCCTATTAATATAGTCACGTAATCATTACTATAACTTATCTAGTGACTTAACCTCGGACGAAAATAGAATCCTTAAATAAGGGAAAGAAACCCCGATTTTATATTTATCTTAATGCACTATGATGTTTTATAAACAAATAAATATTGTATAGTCAAATGTACGAATAATTTAAATTGATGTAGAACTATTTTTTGGCACTACTCCAAATTTATAATCCAAGTCCTTTTGTAAAAGTGTTTAAATTCGTTAGAACAGTAATAATAAACAATCAATCCAATATAAGAAACTTTCGTAAATACCAATAAAATCTTTAATGCATTTCTACTTTTCAAATATCCAAGGTCACCAGTATCCGTAACAGCTGAAACAACTTTTCCCACTTGTTCTTCGGAGCTTGACCATGGAAGCCACCTTTGCAATAGTTCATAAACCATTAATGTTGTGCCAAATTGTGGAGAGGATCTAAATACACGTGCTGGGCCACCTTTGAAAAATGCTTTAAGACCCTCCTCACGAAGAATTTTTCTATAAGCATCAAATATACCATTATAACTTGTTTGACCTTTACGAACTTCAACTTGTAGACGAGTTTTGATTACGTCTGCCGGAGTTGTTAAGTACGCTGCTGGCATGCCTGCCGCAGCACCAGCAATCAAGAGTTCAACTATACCACATTTTTTGTTCGGTCCTTCGCCAAATATGTCCTTTTTTATGTGGGCGTATGTTGTGAAATATATTCCAGAAAATGGGATGTCGCGAAGTAAGCATGCACTGGCGCCCCTATAAAGACCAAAGAGGCCAAGATCTTTTATAATATTAAATGCAGATTTACGTGGTATATCTACATTTTTTGCAACTTCTCCCTGAATTTGAAGACGAATTTTTACAATTTCTAATGGATTGGTAAAAATCTAAATAAATAAGTTATCAGCAAATTAGTGAACTAGTTTTTTTTCACAAATTAGTTGGGTGGTTTAGGGAACAAAGAACTTACAACTTGACAGCCTCCGGCAAATCCACCTGAAAGAATTTCATAAAATATTGGAATAGAACCGGTGTCTTTGTTTTTAAATCGGGCCCGGAAGAAATCGTTTACAGTCAACTTTATAGCCTTTTCCGGTGCTACACCCTAAAATAAACGATAGAGTGATGTAATCAAATGTAATATAACAATTGTCACGTACATATAAAAGTGACTTACCACCAACTGAGGGCCGAGACCGCTGTAAAGACCTAGTAAACCTTCATTATGTACTACCTTTCGAAAACAATCTATGGTATTTCTGTATAGCAATTCTCCTACCACCTTAGACCGTTGATTTTGCATTCTGGTCTTGACGAGGTCGATAGGATACACAACCGTTGCACCCACAGCACCAGCTATTGATCCTAAGAAAAAAGTGTAAATTTGGTGTAATAACACCCATCCAATCCCAGTATGTTCCTTTGTTTGTATCTTAGTAATTGATTTGATCTCAGTTTGTCGTTCCCACTTAGGATCCAAAAGTTGGGCAAAGTCGTGCCTTGATAATCTTCCTGATGGATTTCCTAAACCAGCAAAATGAAAGATAATGTCTGCTTCTAATGGAGTGAACAGTGAAAACCTTGTTTCTCTTGAAGCAGTGTTAAGAAAATCATTTTTGGTAATTTTTCCATCACTGCTTTCAGAAATAGCTTTATGAACAATTCTTTCCACCATGTCCATCTGTCGCACGACATTATGAAAAGCCACGATACTTGCATAATTGATCTTATTGCCGGCATAAAGATTACACAAGGTAGGTAGGTTCTCAATAATATAATCGGAAATTTTATGCTTCGCTATAGAAAGAATTATTTTTTTAAAATTATCAGGTGTGATATATCCAATACCTTC